ATTGTAAGTGCTCCTTCACCCCAACCCAGAATGATGAGAGCATTGTAGATGCTCCCTTTCACCCCAACCCAGAATGATGAGAGCATTGTAGATGCTCCCTTTCACCCCAACCCAGAATGATGAGAGCATTGTAGGTGCTCCCTTTCACCCCAACCCAGAATGATGAGAGCATTGTAGGTGCTCCCTTTCACCCCAACCCAGAATGATGAGAGCATTGTAGATGCTCCCCTTCATCCCAGCCCAGAATGATGAGAGCTCTGGAGCTCCCAGACTACTCTTGAAGCAACTTCATCCTGCTGTTGCTCAATGTCTTCTTTACCCGGAAAAGCCCCTTCTTGTGTTTACTTTTGAACCTCAGCACTTGGCACACGAGCAGACAGATACACAACAAATGCAGGTTAATGGAATAGACACGGTAAGGTGGTATTGCTCCATCATTTGTTCCATGAGACACCCCTGGTGTGAGAGCAGTTCTGACAAACTCTCTTACATAGTTCTGCTCAGCTTTAACATGTGAGTTTTATAATAAACAGCCAATTTGCTATGAACATCCATCTTTCACACCATATGCAAAATGTTACATCAAATTCTAAGAAACGCGGGCAGTGGTGGCACACGCCTTCAATCCCAGCACTTGGGAGGCAGAGGAAGGTGGACCTCTGTGAGTTCAAGGTCAACCTGGTCTACAGAGCAAGTTCTAGGACAGGCTCCAAAGCTACAGGGAAACCCTATCTTGAAAAACAGAAAACAAAAATAAAATCAAAAAATTCTAAAAAGGTATCAAAATACAAAAAAAAAAACAAAACCCTACAGAGGCATGGCTGACTACTGCTTTTCTCTGTCTATTCCATTGCCTCAAGCACCTTTAGCTATCACCCCTTTCTATACATGATAGTGTCAGGAAACCTCTGGAGCGCCAAGGGGCCTCATACTAGGCGAGTCGGCCAGCTTCTTACCAGCATTCATATCTTTAAACTTCTGCTTGAGCTCGGTAGGAGTAAGACGATACTGGTCAAGGCCATCGTTCCAGTAAATTCGGTCGAGGACCTGCAGATCTCCTCCAATCAGCCAATCGCCTTGTTCCATAACCATCTAACAGGAAGCAAAAGGAAATTATTTGCCACAACAGAAGCAGGACCATTACTCTCACACGAGCTAAGCGCAGCTTCTGCAAGCTGGTCTCCATCCTAAAGGCCAAGCTAGGCCTATGACCATCATTGGAATGAAAGACGCTGCAGAAACACCATGATACAATGTTTGAAGGAATTTCTGAAAAGCGACCAAAACCTAAGTGAATGATTATTATAACTTTTCAGTTAAAAAAAAGAAAAAAGAAAAAAGGCATTTTTCCCTGCTGTTATTAGATGTTGGTTAACAGAATGACTTATAACCTATGGGTATCCCATCTTGTGTGGGACACCCTCAGGACCCGCGTTTACAGGCCGCACCTGAAGCCTACCATTTCCCTACACTGCACTGCGTGATGCCTGCATACACTTCATTTTTTCTAAAATTTTTTCTTCAAGTTTTCTAAAATTCAGCCTCTACTTTAAAACACTAGACAACTGACAGATACTTGCCTTCAATACTGACATTTCCACACTCAACACACAAATGAAGCACTCTGATTTTCCACAAGAATGTGATGTTAAGATGCTGGAAATATTAAGCCGCCCTGGTGGGGGCCCCCACTGCACCCCCTCGTATCTTTCTTGTAAGAACACATTTGATATCTTTCCCTACCACTACATTCCAAGAGAACAAACCTTTGCCCAAGACGTCCAAGTCCTGAGTTCTGAGCCAGCCCTGAGCTCAGCACCTGGTGCACAGTAAACACTGTAAGCTATGTGTTACAAGCTGGAGTATACATACAGCTACGCACAGGCTTAGCATGCACAGGGCTCTGGATTTAATCCCCAGCATCAACAATTTCAAAAAAAACTACAAAGAGTTACTGAATAAATATTTATATGAGTCAAAACAACAAGGCCATCTGCTCATTACTCTCATCTAAGAGCTGGTCTCGATTCTGCAAAACTTCACAGCCCAGAGGCACAATTAACACACAGCCAACGGCCACATTTCAACACAAATGTTACTGTCGGATGAGTCAAGACCTTAATGTAGGGGTGGTTCTTGCATGTTGTTCCCCACTGTCTGGCACAACGCTCCTCTTTCCGGTGCTCAAAAAATTCAGGATTTCGAAGAATGGCTACACGGCGGCCCTCATACATCAGAGCAAACGCTGTACAGCCATCCAGCCTCTCTTTGTCCTCATGCGTAGCTGTCAGAACTATTGGCACTGACAAGTTGATGACCCCTCCTGCAGGACACAAAAGAGCACAAAGTACACAGCTTACTCAGTGGCTCTTAGTGTAGTCACCTTCGTCTTCAGTGACACAATTCAAAACAACAACAACAACAACAAAATTGTTTAAAGAAGCAGGGCCAGTGAGAACGCTCAGCAATCGAGGGCACTCGCTACCACACCTGACAAACAAGAGTTCGATCCCTGGAATCCACATGGTAAAATGGATGACCTGACAGCCACAAGATTTCCTCTGTCCTCAACGTGTGTGCTGTGGCGTGAATGATTACACAAGCACACACATGAACACACACACAATGAATTATTGATGAATTAATGCAAACATTTTTAAAGAACCAGTGACAGTCTCTAGAGTACCTGGCACAAAAGAAGCAACTAATTTATTCAGAAAGTTAAAAAGACAGAGACGAAGAGAAGAAAGGGGGGATGATGCTGGACGCTCTTCTGGATGCTGCACACATGTGCTGCTTTCATTGCTTGAGGAATAAAACTGTTTCGGTCAATGGCCAGGAAAAATATAGATAGGCGGGAAATCCAAACTAAGAGACAAAGAGAAGGAAGGCAGAGTCAGGGAGATGCCATGTAGTCACTGAAGGAGTAACATGCTGGAGTATCACCAGTAAGGCACAGCCTCGTGGCAACACACAGATTATAGAAATGAGTTGACTTAGTTGTGAGAGCTAGTCAGTAATATGTCTGAGCTATTGGCTGAACAACTACAATTGATATTAAACCTCTGAGTGTTATCTTATACGCGGCTGTGGGGACCCACGAGTGGGGAAGAAATCGGTCCAGGGGCACCAGGGGGACAGAGAAAAAATATTTGACTACGGGGAAGGAAGAGGAAGGGAAGCAAAGAGATGGGATAGGGAAAAAGGGAAGAGGGGGTTGGAAGAGAAGGGAGAAAAAGAAGGAAGAGGAAGAGGGAGGGGAGAGAAGATGGGATGGGAAAGAAGGAGGAAGGGAATGGGAGAGGAGAGAGGGAGGAATGGGGGAGGTAGGGAGGGGATAGAGAGGGAAAAGGAGTGGGGGAGAGGAGAGAAGAATAAAAGAAAAGTGAAGGAACCAACACATATCACATACTAATTCTCACAAGTCATCCAGCTGTCCTTGGGGAGAAATTCTATACAGAACTGTGGCAGTAAAGGAACTCATCTACAAAAGACACATCAGAAGGCTATGACTATTGAAAAACACTGCACATCCCACTATATGAATGAGACCAAGAACTCTATCTCATTTCCAAGAAAAAGTTAAATCCTTCTTGAAAGGGGAATGACACAAACAACTACATTTCAAGTGGCAAACTGGTCAAGTATCTTTGAGCATATTTACATAACAAAGATAATCTATTTTTTTTCTTTTTATTTACTTGGGGTGTGTGTGTGTGTGTGTGTGTGTGTGTGTGTGTGTAGGTGTATACATAGGCCAGGGGAGGGCGATATGTCTTCCTCTATCACCCTACACCTTGCTCCCTTGAGATAGGTCTCTCACTAAACTGACAGCTCAGGAAGACTGCCTGGCCACCAAACTCCCAGGAGCCACCTGTCAACACTGAGGTCACAGTTACTCATGGCCATGTCTAGCTTTTACATAGGACCTGGGAATCTGGACTCAGGTCCCTCTTCTTTCAAAGCAAATGCTCTTACCCACCTAGACATTTGCCCAGCCCTCCCCCTTTAAATTACATTTTTAATATAGTCAGAATCAAACCAATGGCAGGTGTACCTGGCCAAGAAACAAAAACAGTAATCAGTGGTTCCAATTACTCCAAACTGGGGTACCAGTGAGCCCAAAGCACACTCTCAGTTCCCAGCCTGTGGTGCTCTACGTGTTTTGCTTTGCATTGCTTTCTGAGACAGACTCTCTACAGTCCTGGCGATCCTGGAACTGGCTATATAGACAAGGTTAGCCTCAGACTCACTGAGATCTACCTTTCTCAGTATTAAAGGTATGCACCATCACACCCAGAGGTAAGTGTGTGTGTGTGTGTGTGTGTGTGTGTGTGTGTAAGTTACTATAACATATACGAGCTAGAAAATTGGAGTAGGCTCTTAAATTCCTACTGGGATTTCTATACAGAAGAAATCCTACTGTGTAGGGAATCATGGACAAAGCTGTCAGCCATCAACAAATTCAGATACACTTCTAAAATGACCAGGAACAGGTTAAGATGGAAAACTAATAAGTCAATGTGCACTAAACTTCAAGTTAAGTCATTCCTGAGCAGGCAAGTAAAGACGACCACTGACTCAAAAGAGGAAAATAAAAATACAGTATTTAATCTTTACAGAAAACGAACACACAAACAAACAGGCTTCGTAGAGGAATGGTTCAGGGTGTATGGGCCCCAGGGGGGACAAGCACTCCATAGTGAACCGGCTGGCATGGCACAGGGAACGACTGGCTTTCATGACTCTCTTTCTGTCCTGATCCCAGGTTTTCCTCCTTCCTCCACAACGAACAACAAGTACAGGAAGGAAAAGGAAGAGTGGGAATAAGATCCCATAGTTCACTTAAAGTGTCCCAGTAGAGCTTAGTTTTCCTGACTACTAGTGAAGGGCCACGACTGCCTCTGTGGAAAGTGGCAAAACCCTGAAGCCATGCCGTGCCTTCTCACACCCAGGTGGATTTCAGATGTAGACCGTCTTACCGTCCAGAAGGCAATCGAAATGAAGGCACTGCAAGTATTCCCTCTCTCTCATGAAGCCATTCAGAGGAGTCGCCCAACCTTCCGCCAAAACCTGCACCCACTGCATATCCACCTAGGAAATTAGACCATAAATTAAAAAAAACCACTTATTTCATGTACTTACAAGCCCAAGCAGCAAAAAGTGTTATGTGTTTGATTTCGAAAGCAATGGTAACAAACATGACAGCAGCGGCTGTGGATCCTACAAACTGAAGAAAGAACAGGAACTCCTGGAGGACACACTTTTCTTCTATTCCATCTGTAACACACGACCCTCCACTACTTCCATCGGGGACAGCCTCCCCTAAGCCAGTGGTTCTCCAATGTTACTGTGTTTCAGACAACCTCTGGGAGGTGTGCTACAGTGCTGACTGCCAGATGGGCCTGGTGGGGCGAACTTAATCCTAACACTTGGGAGGCAGACATAGACTAGCAGATCTCTGTTTAAGGGCAGCCTGGGGTAGACAGCAAGCTTCAAGTAAGGCCAGGCTGTACGGTGAGAGCCTGCCACAGAGCAAGCAGACAAATAAATGCAGACTGCTTCCCATTCAATTTCCAAGGCGGTGGGAATCTTCTAACTCTGTCAAGTTCCTAGAACTGCTAACAGATGCGAGAAGATCTGAAGCCGCACGCCGATAGTCACTATCCACTTTGCCTCCTTGCTCGTTTTGTTTGTTTTTCAAAGCAGGGATTTGCTTTGTAGCCCTGGCTGTTCTGCAACTTTGTAGACCAGACTGGTCTCAAACTCACAGCGATCCGCCTGCCTCTGCCTCCTGAGTGCTGGGATTAAAGGCATGCACCACCACTGCCCGACTGACAGTCACCATCCTAAACCAAAAAGATACTTTACACAAAATATTTACCAAGAAGTCTCTTCCCCAGACAGTAACTTCATCTTACAAAGACCACTATTGCTTAAACTTCCAGACTTGTGGTTACATCCCAACAGAACAGTAAAAAAACAGGTGAACTGCATACCTCATACAGCAATGGATCCCCAATGAGAAAAGACTACGCCCATGGACCATGGTGTGCAGTAAAATGGAGTCTCCCATTCATTCCTAAAGCACAATGGCCATGTGTGCAAGGAAACAGCCAACAACATGGGGAATTATACAGCCTCAATTCATATAGGTTTCCTAAACCCATGATAGTGGTCGCTGCTTATCTCAGTCTAGACGGCATCGGTTAGGCGCTGAACGCCTGTACTCCTGCAGGCTTCCTTACTTGAAGCCTTGGCCTTCCACATGACTAAAGAAATTTGTGAGGAAGCTGGGAATGGGCGACCAGCAGTGTGGGTGGGTGCCAGACACTGAATCCACACGCTCCCGGACTGAAGGAAGCTCTCCTTCAGGGTTCTGCAGTGCCGTCCACCTCCAGACAGATCTCTTTCCCTCTCTGTGCAAACTACAGTCCTTCTCCATGGCCACTGCCACAGCCCTGCTTTACACCATCCCTCCGACACTCGTCCACCTCACACCAGGACACACACAGCCCATTTAAAGCAACTCTGACCAAAGAAGTGAACAACTACGGAGGAGCCTTTGTCCAGGCCAAGCTCAGTTCTCCACCCTCAGTACCGAGAAGTGACGCTTCCTCACGTGTTCTAGATTTTTCTTGGTGTAAATGAAGAGTTGAAGGGAAAGCCAACTGCCACTCCATACTCTTATTCCTTACCCTTTGCGGGATTTTGCTTGCTTTTTTTTTCTGTTTTTATAATATGTATAAATTATACAGCTTGAAGTTTCCTAAGATTTGAGACTAGGCCACAGTTCCTACTCTCATCCTGCTTAGTCTAACTCAGTAACTGCTAATTGAGAAAGGCACCTAATGGTAGCATCAGACACAGATAGATATACAACAGAACTATTCCTAATGTGTCTATTTTTCTTAATATAAGGGAGAGTCAAGTGTTGGACAGGAAATTGGGAAACATGGCTAAAGCAGTAAAAGTTCATTCTAATTATTATGGGTTAGCATTTCTTAATGTCTTAGAAACATTCCTTTCTCTCTTACGCCCCCAAATCTCACATAATCTTTGTCCTTTGATATTTCAAAATAAACAAATGTGACTAAAAGCAAATCAAAGTCACGGTACTGTGGGAATACTGTTCCCCATGAAACACATTCTCCATCCCTGGGAACTGTGATATATACCACAGCACCCTGACCTGCTACTGCCACCCCGACTTCAAACACGGCCACTAAGCCCCACATTCATCAAGCTAACCGCTCCTCAGCCGGCTGAACCACTTGGTCTGAAAAGCAGCGGAGAACTTACTTTATTGATTTTCAGTGCTGGTAATGCTTCTGCGTCCGTTTTTGCCAAATGCAGTTTGTTCTCTGGCACATAGAGTTCTTTCACCTCATAGGAGGCGTCCACAGGTACAATATCCTGCACAGCAACAAGAGGGCAATTAGACAGCAGATCCGACAGTGCGGGCATCCCCAAACGGCATCTCAGGGAAGAGAAACCAGCATTTCTAGCAGAAAAGGGGGCTTTAGCACCATGTCCCCTCCTCAGTTTCCCTAATGTTAGTTGGTCTGCTCCCGAATAACATCTCACACTCACGAAATCAGCATTATGCCCCATCATCTAACAGAAAAGAAAACATTCCTAGAATCTTAGGTGCCTGTAAATAGAATGCCCTCAGATACACAGCAATGAAAATGTTAAACACAAACAATCCATGTGAGACACCACCACTTTTCCCTATGTACCTTCTCCTCGGTGTCACTGAAGCCACCATTTTGCTCATAAAATTCATATTTCAGAATGTGTTCACTTCCTTCCCACAACCATTGAAAACTACTTTTTAAAAATGTTTTTGTTCTTACACCCCAAGGTTTCCTCTCCCTACCTTCCTCCAGTTCCCCACCCACACCCCACCCCATCCACGGCTCCTCCACTGTTCTCTTCAGATGCAGGCAAGCCTTCCAGGAATATCCGCCGAAAAGTAGTGCTTTTTGATCCCACGTGAAATAGAACTGCAGTCAAAATCCTACGTGCTCACTAACGACACTAAGACATGCTTTCTTCCTGTTTGGTCTCACACGTACTGCACACGTGGGCACGGAGTGGAGGGAGGTGGTGCAGGCTGTGTGTGTGTGTGTGTGTGTGTGTGTGTGTGTGTGTGTGTGTGACAACACTACCACTTACACTGCCAGTAGGAGAGCTTCACAAGACTGGCTCCCAGGGCACTACCATGCCCTAACGAATTCTAAATGGGTTCAAGCACATTAACTCTTTTTAATATCAAATCTGCCGGGTCATCTCTCTCAGCACACAATATGGAACTAATTGTGGGTTTTCATACATGTGTACAGGCAACACTTTGTTATTCGAAATAAAACAGTTCTCAAGAGAATAAAAAGATACAGCCAAAGCCTAGGGGAAAGTGTTGCCAAATACACAAAGAACCTGAAAATACATAGGAAAAAAAAAAAAAACCATATTGAGGCTGGAATGCAGTCATCACAGAACCACTGATATCCTCCACAGAGCTAAGAAAACAAACCTAAAAACATTCAGAACCAGAAACCTCACCAACAGCCAGAGAGAAAGTCCTGAACCAACACCTCACCAAAGACACACGGATGGTATAGAGGCCTGTGAAAACACTCAGCATCACATTGTCCCTGCCAAATGATCAGATCCACAGCACAGACGGCAGAGCAAGAGCCATCCCCACTGTGTAAACCTAAGCCTGTCAAGCCAGGACAACAGACGGAGGCGGCCTGCAAACAGTCACCTAAAAGAAGGCATGCTCAAAGGCATGATGCACACAGCATCAGTGTTACAGGAAGCTAAAACTTCTACTAAAAGATGTATTTTTTTAAAGCATGAAGCAACAATGACCAAGGTAATGCAAAGTAAAATATTAACAGAAGAACCAAATTCTCTTTGTGGGCATATGCATGTGTGTACATGTTCATGTATGTATGCACATGTGTGAGAGTACACCTGGAAGCCAGAGGCCAACATCAGATGTCTTTTTCAGTCACACTCCATGTGACTCTCGTGTGTGTGTGTGTGTGTGTGTGTGTGTGTGTGTACGTGTATGCACGCATGCACACATGCTCACCTATGAGCACGCTGAGGTCCACACTGTCCCCACCTTATTTTCTGAGACAGGCTCTCTCACTGAACAGGGAGCTCGCCATTTTGCCAGACTGCCTATCAGATAACACCCAGCAGCCTCCTCTTTCTGCCTGCCGAGGCCTCCATTACAAACATGTCCTGCTGTGCCAGCTTTTCATGTGGATACTGAAGGTCTAAGCACAGGTCTTCACGCTTGCACGGCACGAGCTTTTCTGACTGAGCCCAAAAATCAAAACTTTAAGGACATACCCTACTTACAGTTAGTTACCTGCCACATAGCAGGTAACTTAATCCACTCAGCTAACGGTGGACTAAACATACACAGCATTGCTGTAGGTATCTGTGACCCAGTGGCTCCCCAGCCATTTTAGTTTGAGTAGCACAACCTCTAGATGTTTGTACAACATGCCTTGTCTAAGGGAAGAGCTCAAAGTGGCAGCTGACCATGATTGGCTCACAGCAATAGAGGAATATACTATTAATAAGGCTAAGTTACATGTCTATGCCAAAAGAGGTTCATGAAGACCAGGGGTAGCTGTTCACACAATCCCAATGAGGATCTGAGAATCCAGAACCAGTGGCCTACAGCGCCATCTTCTCAGATACTCTGCTCCCACAATGGGGAAAAAGGAGAAACACAGTTCAGCACAGCATAAAAGCAGGCAGAAAAACCAGATTTCTCCTATGGTAATATTCAAGGCCTCCAACTTCGCAGAATAAACCCAAGAGTAAGTAAGACTACACATACAGGAAAAGAAATAATAAAATCAAAACCCACAATGAGGGACCACGGCCAGCCAGGCCCCACAGCCCACTCCTGGAGCAGAGCAACATTTCTGAGAGACGTCTGCCCCTCGAGCACCCCTCTGCCCCTCGAGCGCCCCACTAATCAAGGAGGAAACAGGAAGGCAGCACATAAGGCACAAACTGCCCAGCACAAGTGTCCATAAATCTCCCAGACATTCCATATTTCATAGCAGAAAGTTATTGCTGCATTTACTAAGGAAAAAGACTACCTGAAGCCATTAAAGAAAAAAGTGAACCAAGGCGGCCCAGCTGCTCCAGCTGCTCCAGCTGTTCCAGTTGCTCCAGTCTGACTTGGTGGATGTCACTGCAATCATGTTCTCACAAGGTAGACTTCCCCACACACATGAACCCACACCAAAGTAGGTTTGTGTCAGCTTTATGAAGGGAGGGGGAGCAACAGGTCAGCAGTCAGTTTATATGGAATGGTGGACTTTAAGAATGTGTCGAAGAGGAAAATCACGCACAGAAGGAAAAGAAAAATCTTGCCAGATAAGCAGCTTAGGCGTAGCTCCCTGCATTTACTTTAAATGTGGAAAGGGCCTTGGTAGGCAGATGGCCTATATCCTTCTGTGTGTGTGTCACTGTCATTTGCCTAGTGTCCCGTCTAAGTGTTCTCCGCCGTGGATGCCTTACAGAGCAAATGGCCTGTCTGTAGTCGCTGCCAAGCTTCAACTGGAAAGGGAAAGCCCAGAATCCACTTTCTCTGAGAGACAGTGGAGCATGCACGAAGCAGCTGCACACACCCCACACGCTCAGCCGGACACACAAGACACCAAAGGCACACTCAAGCATCATATTCTTGCCAGCTGCACAATAAAAAACTGAAATCCTACACAGGAAAAGATGCTAAGAGTGACCAATTAAGGCCAGGTACTCGTTAGGCTTCTAGAAGGGAGAGGACAGGGAGGCTCACAGAAAGGACAGGAAGTCAGTAAACTAGTCACAAAATTTAAGGGACACATTTTCAAACCAAGAAGAGACAGAAGGTGGCAGGAGCCCGTACGTCAGTTATTTCTCATGTTCTTACTGTTGTTACGAAAGAGAGGAAGACATGAACATTCTTTGCCTAGCAGTCGGTGATCTGTTTCTTCAGTTCTAAATACACAGCCCTGACGGGCTTCCTCACCTCACCTCCTGGTTTCTCCTTTTCCTCAACCACTTAAAAAACATCCAGACACCCATTCCCCAGGGCTGTTACAAGAATCAGACATCATGGTGTCTGAACTATAGGGCTAACACAGGGATATGCCCTCAACACACTGTTCTAAAGGCTTTATGGCCTAACACCTACCTGTCAAGGCAGAAGAAACTATGCTATCTGCCCCCTCCACAATGAAGGGAGCTAAGGTCCAAGAGATGAACAAACCCCACTAGACTGTTTTCCATTGCACTTAGCACACGGGCAATAAAAGATGATGATGATAAAACTCACTAGGTTCGTACACAAGAAACCACCCCCAAGTTCCAGCTGTCAGCCCATTAACTCAGACAGAGTTCTCAGCAAGCTCTAAGGTGGGCTCTATTATCAGTTCTATTTCATGCAGAAAAGCAGTGAGGCCAGAAATAAAGTTATTTTCCCAAGGCCATAAAATTGAATTGATAGGTGCTAGACCTGGAATTCAACTTTAAAGGTATCCTTCAGTGTTCCCCCATAGAAACTAAGTCAGGATACTTTGTCACACACATTGTTTCAGCAAACATGCAAGTTTAATCGTGTACTGCTTTCAAATATTAACATGGGATTATAATCATTTTTTTCAAGATCAAGAAGAAATAGTGTCATGTTTTATTTTTAAGTCAAAATAGCTTTTCATCACAAACATTCAACAAAATCCCTCCCTTTGCAGATTCATATCTAACAATATTCATAAGATGAATTTTAGCCTTTCAATATGGGTGTGCAATTCTTCTGGTGGATAACCAATGTTAAATAAAAGGTCAAGAGCCTGCCATTGTTTTCTTCTGGAAAGATAAAGTTAATATTTCTGGAATTAGCACAAGCACAATGGCATGAGTCAAGGGGAAGACGGAACATCTGCTCAGTGGAAGACAGCTCTGTGTAGACTGTGGGTAGAGATGAGGCAACCGATTATCAGAAACACAAAGAGAACCTTAAAAATGCAGACACAGGGCTGGAGGAATGGCTCAAAACTTAAGAGCACTGGCTGCTCTTCCAGAAGATCTGGATTCAATTCCCAGCACCCACATGGCAGCTCACAGCCATCTGTAACTCCAGTTCCAGAGGATCCAATGCCTTCTTCTGGCACCGGGCACACACATGCCGCACAGACATACAAGTAAACGAAATACCCATACATATTTTCTTATGTTGAATGCAGACACAGCCAGTTTCTAGCACAGTCTAGTGACAAACCTCAGTCTCCAAAACCACCACTAAACACCCGAAAGGACCAATACCACCACCTCAAAGTACGTGTGGATACTGAGAGAGCAGAAGGCGGAGCCCCTGCCACATGGTGACTGCT